TTTGCATAGATAAATACAGATTTTCTAGTTCGAAATTCAGAAATAAAAACACAAAAATCCAGTTTAAAATAATTTATTCAAGTATATATTTATAAATTTGTGTTCTCAGTTTTCACAGAACTGTAGCAATCATTTTCATAAATTCGTGCTACCCAATTCGTTCCTTTCTAGAGGGCACAGAAGGCGCACAAAGCAATTTACTGGAATTACAAGAGCGTCTCTAATTGTTAAGTAAGCATAATGTGTGTAACATATGGTCAAGAGAGTTGCCTGTAGAAACGCTGACTCCGGAGCTGGCGCTGGCTGAGTCCCTTGGCCCTAATGCGGCCCTGATACTGTGGAGGAGAGCGTAGAGGGGGGTACGAGTGTCATTTCCAGTGGGTCTCGCTGTATGGCAAATTACAGCGAATATGACAAAGAGCGCATCTGCGGGCATGTTTGCGAGGGTTCGCAGAAGCGGTAAGCGCTAATAAATTGGCAAAAATGTTGATGCTTAAAAAAAGAATGGAATAAAAAACTCAGGCATAGAAACTGCTGTGCTCATGTGGGAAACGGGACAGGGGGACTGTCGCATTCAGCATTCACAATGAAACGGAATTTTGCCCAAATAAATATGGGAAACTAAGTGTGCTTTTAGTCTAGCATCAAATCTGGTCTGTTATGATTTTTAGACTCGTTTTCAGTCAGTTAAAAAGGAAAGATTGATCCAGGTGTTTCTCAGGAATATTTATTTTATTTTTAATAGTTAAAGCCTCAACCCCAATTTGTGAATCAAGTGATGTTCCTTTAAGCATACTTTAATGACTAATGCTCGATTATTAATTATTGATTAGGGATTGCTGCTACAATAAAATTCTAGCTTTAAGGTCAGGCCTTCACCTATAATTCTAAGTTTTGTTTTTCTTGCCTATTCTAGAATAACTGCAATGTCGACTAAGAAGGATCGCAGTAATCCCGACTCGTCTGTAGACACCGCAAACAACTCGGGTAGTAGCCATAGTTCAACAAGTTATAACCCCAACGTACGGCGTTCGCAGGGCCGCTACCTCGTGCCCATTAGCCCGTATGGTTGGTATCGTGTCCTGGTCTACAGCCAGTACAGCGGCTACACCGTGGAGCAGGTGATGGAAAAACTCCGTGAGGCTGTGGCGCCGCGCAAGCTCAAGTATTACTATTTACACGAAGGCGGCGAACAGGATGTGGAGCGGGACAAGCGGGCCACGTTCACCTTCTATGTGGATAGCTACAAGCTGGCCGCGGAGCTGCAGCTGCGTGGACACCAGCCGCCAGTTGTGGGTCTGCGCGTCAACGATCGACCGCCCCTGATCGATGTGGACGAGGCGTACAAGTGGAAGCTGCGAAAGGTGATAATGTCCCGCTACGATGAGAAGAGGCGCTGCTTGAATCTGTGTCGCTTCTATGCGGATGACCAGTGGAAGGGCGAGTTCTGTGCGCTGCAGCAGTTCGAGTGCTTCGCGGCGACCATGGACATCATGGAGCGGGAGTTGCCGCAGCTGCGTCGTCTGCTGCTGGACAACAATCATATGTGCCACTTGGGTGGCTTTCGTGGCGTGGATCAGCGACTGCCACGCCTACACTCGATCTCGCTGCAGCAAAACGACCTGAAGACGCTGCGCGAACTGCGCGTCTTCCAGCGCCTGCATCTCACCGAGCTCTCGGTCAAGCGGAATCTGCTGCCCCGCAACTACGAGCAACAGGTTCTCGTCATGTTTCCGTCTCTGTGCATGCTCAACGGCCGATGCGTGAGGCGCAGCCCCTCGATACACACAGTCAACGTCAGCGAAAGCGATGCGGATAGTATTCATAATACCGACAGCGATGTGGAGCTAGTCTCCGTCACCGAGGTCAAGCCAATTGTCCTGCCTGAACCGCGCGTCACGTTTCTGGCTTTCCACGATCTACCGATGCCGATGGGCGTCAGGAAGTTCGTGCGCCGATATATAAAGGCCTTCGATGGCGATGAGAGGATCACAAGTCTGGAGCGATTCTATCAAGAGCATGTGCTGGTCTCCCTAACACTGGCCAAGGAACACGCCATGCTGGGCTCATGGTAGGTGACGCCACCAAAGATTCCTTTTCCCAATTCCGTTTTTCGATTCACAAGTTTCGTTCATCCCCTCCACAGGACCGGGCCCTACGCCGTCTATAGCCGGCAGCTGCTGGCCTGCCGGGAAGCTACGCTCGATATGTTTGCGGCCTGGCCCAAAACATTGCATTTGCCGGGAACGATGACCCTGGACTTGACTCTAGTGGAGCCGCTCATGCTGTGCGTCTCCATCACGGGCAGCTTTGAGGAGAATGGCTCGGCCAGCCATCGACGCCACTATATGCGAAGCTTTGTGCTGACCAGAAAGGCCGAAACGGACGACTTTCGCATAGCCAATGAGCTCATCTATCTCAGTCGTGTTGGCCGTGGCGAACGGCAGCCGCCCCTGCTCAATCCTCTGCAGCGCAATCTGGTCTCCTTGATGTCGACGGAGACGCAACTCAAGTTGCGCTGGAGCAGCAAATTCTTGAGAGATACGAATTGGGACTATCAACAGGCAATGCTGGCATTCCACACACTCCTACGACAGCGCCAGATACCCGAAAACGCATTCAGGTGCGATACAAAGACCGAGCCGAATCCGTGACGTCAGCCACCGCAAGCCGTATACCCGATGTGCCCGCAGGGAAATTGAAAATTCCACTGATTATGCTGATTAAATTTTGTTTTGAACTGAATGTAAGGGCATTAACTGTGCCTTGACTATGCCAATAAGGATGTCCCTGCGCTCTGTGAATAATTTCATAATTTATTTGCTCAATTCGATCTATGCTATGTGGAAGACAGCCAAAGTTTCTTACAACTGGTAAGATTGTGAATGCAATTGTTGTTATTAATAAATAATTTTACTTTGTAACAGAATGATGTATATA